AAGAAAGAAATCATTTATTTTCTCAATGGCCCAAATTGGGTCTCCAGTCTCTCCTTAAGGTACAGGCAGGAAACCAGAGTCTGGGGCAGATTTCCTTCCTGCTCAAGCTTGGGTGGGCTGTCAACATCCAGTAGGCCTTGCTGTGGGGGGCCCGGATAATAACTGCCACAAGCTCCCTGGTGTGTCACATTTTATTGTTAATACTTTGAAATTACTGATCTCTTTTGCTATACCATAAATTTCAAGAGTGACCTCGTACATCTGTCCACAACTGTATGCATCCCCGGTGCCTGGCATAAAATCCTGGAGAAGTTATTTGTTGAATACCTTATACGGGACAGGTTTACTACTTTAACATCATCTGGTTTAACAGTCACACTACCAACGAGATATGTACTGCTATTGCCATTTTACGGAGGGAAAAAAGGAGTCTCGTTCAGTATAAGTAACTTGACTCAAGACACACAGGAAGTGTCAGAGTTGGGTTTCAAACCCAGGCCAAACTGTTGCCGAGCTTTCGCTCTTCACTCCAAGCCACACCGTGAGTCCTCAGATCGCTGCCTGGACAAGGGGAAACCACCTTCCTGGGGGTGAGGACCACGGGCTTAGCTTATCCCAAGGGCTTCCTGAGATCGATTCGTTTAGGTTTGATGTGAAGGTGCACTTTACCAGCGACTCTACTGAAGAGGAGCTTGCAGAAGCGCTTTGACCACTTCCGCGGGTTTAGTGGAAGGGGCACTTCTGGCCGCCCAAAAGGAGCCCCAAATGGGACTCTATCCCCACCCTCGCTCCGCTAGGCCTCAGAGAGGCCGCAACCGGCCCCCGGCCCTGGTCCCGCGGCCAAGTCTGAACCCCAGCAACCCCCAGCTACCCCAGCCAAGCCGGGACCCCACGCCTCTCCACCCTCCCGACCCAGTCGGGCCCAGTCGGAAACACTCACCCGCGGGCAGAAAAAGCGCCCGCAGCTCCGGCCTCGCTTCCCTTTGTCCCGCGCACGCCCCGCCCCTCGCGTCCCGAGCTTCCGCGCTCGCACTTTCAACACTCTTCTTAATTCCTTTCCAGGCCCCAACCGACTTTCTTCAGAAAAATAAACGTTCTAGTGGGGACGCGGTGGTGTTTAGTACAGTCAAAGATTTTTTTCAGGTTCCATACGTTCCTCAAAACTCCCCGAATGTCAGTATTTTGCCAGCTGGGCGCCGATTCGTCACTCTGGAGAGGGAGGAGGTGGCCCAACCGCGGGTAGGCCCGGACCGCGCGGCCCCCGAGGAGCCGGAGCGGGGACGGGTGACGCGGCGGGAGATGCGAGGCTGAGCCGAAGGGAGGTGGGAGCGCGGCCTCAGCTTCCCCGCGCGGGGCCGGAAGGCAGCGGGAGGCGCGCCCAGTAGCGAGTCCCGGAACCACTGTGGCCGCGCGGCCCGCGCACCACCCCGGCCGGACTCAGGCCGCGCACGCCCCCCGTCCCTGCCCCCGAGTTTGTTTTTCTCCTTCCGGTCTTTTTCTTTCCTCTATCTCTGGAAGCTGGAGTGTATATAATTCAGCAAGCCGAGGATAGAGGAGTGGAGAGCCGGCTTTACCGAGCTTCCGTCCTCCTGCGCGCTTCCCAGGGCTTCCTGCCTTAACCGCTGGCAAGAGCTTTGGCGAAAGCAACACAGATCTTTCCAGTTGTTCCCAAGCGCAAGTGTGGTGTAATTGTCACAGGTTTCTGAGCCAAGGCCCGGAGATGTAAATCTTGCGCCAGGTTGTGTGTCCCAAAGCGCCTTGGCTCATTCGGTTTCCTCTGCCAGGAACGACAGTCCTTCACTTTTGGGCTTAAACTCATCTGTCCTTACGGATCCAGCTCAAATTCTGTCTCTGATGCCTCCTGGGAACTCCCCGCCTCACGCGCCCCCCCACCCCCCGAATTTCTTCTTCTGAATGCCCAAGATTTTTGATAACTATTATGGCCTTTACCTAATACATTGTATCAGATTGTGTTTGTCATTGTCAATACTCTATGAGAGCCTTGAAGGCAAAAGTTCAGCCGTCTGCATTGGTCATCTTTCTATAGCCAGTGCCCAGTAAGGCCTTGGACCATTGTTAGAAGCTCAGTAAATGTATATTGAGGCAGGCTACGGTCTAGTCCAGGACTCTTTTCACTAAATCGTGACTACGTTGATGTACTAGATAGCAGCCTCTCCTTGGATATATAAACACTTGACCGATGTGGGCCACTGCAGAGGGGGAAGGATCTGAAATTACTTGAAAATGGTGTTGACATTTAGAATGATTGGATTCTTCAGCTACCCTTAGCCACAGTCCTGGATGTGCCAGCAGGGACTAGGGCATCTCCAGAAGTATGCAAAACCAGGGACAAGTGACCCTCTTCCACCTCCAATATTTATTTTCATGTTCATGATTAAAGATTAGTGAAACTAAAGAGCATATTAAAGGGAAAAGAGGTCATCAAAAGATAATGGGCAGCCTGACTGGGGCTTGAGATAATGTACCAGAAATTGCTTTTTTAAAATATAAAAGCATCAGATACATGGATTAATGTAAAATACACGAAGGCTTCAGCAGGGAATCCCATCTTCTTCCACTGGCTTTTATGGTGGAGGATTGGGCAAGCTCCATGCTGGGGCAGGTGCTTGGTTATGTCATCTCTAGGCAGTCTTCTGCAGAAAAACTGCTGGGTGTTAGCAACAAAGCATACTGTAGTGGGAAAGGGAGGACTCAAAAATAGTAGGAAAGGAAAGGAGTGGTGACATTGATACACTTTCTTATCTCCTGAGCTTTGCTCAAATATCACCTCAGTATGTTTTTCCTGATCTATATAAAACTGTAACTCATTCCCCAACCTCCTCTCTATTCATTGTTTTTTCCTATAGTATGTATTACCACCTAACATACTCTATTTGTTGTATTTTTATGTTGCTATCTTTTTCTTCCCATCAAGAATGAAAGCTCCTTGGGCCGGGGGATTCAACATCTGGAACAATGCCCATTCTCGTGCCCCTATCTGTGGAGTGAATAAATGATCAGCTATCTCATCATCTTCCCTTTAGTTATTTCTCTGCTCTGAAGATTTTCAAAATTAAGAAAGGAAAAATATAGGCAAAATATAATAGAGAAAGTCTTAGAGATTAAGATTGAAGAGTGAAATATCCAACAGGATGGACTCTACTTTCACTGAGTTGCTGTTGATTTTTTCCCCAAGCAGACAGTAGGACATATGATCTTGCATGGGCAGGGATATTTATGGGGACTGCAGGACAGGTTATTTTGAATGGTGATTATTCCTGGAAGATGTGGGATGAACAGTTAATATGACTGTTCATACTACGTGTAAAGATATTGGGAACTCTCACAGGCACCTAATGGTAAACCCCAGAGACAGGGACAAGCAGTTTAGTTTTCTTTCTGGCAGCAAGATCCAGGAAATTTGCCTGCATTGCTCTTTGACACTACTCATACTTCCTTGAGGTTCTTCTTCCTCCCCAAATTAGTAAGTGATTAAGCTGGGATTGAAATCTCTTTGATTTCTTTCCCTCGTGCTGTGGGAAGATGCTGGGAAGGAAAAAACAGGGATAGAACGAGAACCATGACTGGGAAGGAAGAAAGACGAGAACATTCGAGAGAACAAGGAAATACCCATAGTCCTTGGACACCTACTAGTCTGTGAATTGGCTCCAGGAGGTTTATTCCTTTATAACCTTTTAAGATTGTACACAATTTTTAGGTGCTTCCTCCCAACCCTCTTCCAAATAGTTTTTGGCCTTTAACAGATTTTCAAAGAGGTTTGTAACTCAAAAAGCTTTTGAATCCAACACTGAGCCATGCAGTTTGTCTAGAGTTTGTTCTAATGAAGCATTTTTCAATGGATCCCCACCCCCCCACCCTTAAAATAGGGAAAGGAAGGACAGAACTCTGTCTGAACCACTTATAAAAGTCTGGCTAATAAAAAAAGTGTGGCTGTAAGAAACATGGTGAAATAAGCTAGTTTTCTCAGCCCTTTCTGTGAAAGCAGAAGTTATGGCTGTTCAATTGCTATTACTAGAAGTCATTCTGAAATATTGAAGTCCAGTAGATTTCCAGGTCTTAGTGATTCACCATGTTGTGTAGATTTTGACAAAGTATGGTTTGCTTTTAGAGTCTTCTGCCTTACATTCAAAATATCTGGATATTTGGGACATGAACATGAATTCTTCTCTCCCAGTGACTGTTTTCATCCATATATTCTTATACATTTGAGTAGTGCTTTGCCAAATATTTTTACATGTGTATTATTTCAAACAGCTCTGTGAAGTAGGCAGGACAGGAATGATGATCAAGTGCCACCTTTCTCTTCATTTTCAGGTGTGAAAACAGAGACCTAGAGAATTTAAGTGACTCCTTTCTGGTTGCATGGGTCATGAGTGACAGTCCCAGGGCTGGGATCGTGCAGTTGTTGGTAACTGGACTTATTATTTACTTTTTTCCCCCAGACTTTAAACTTTTGATTTTGTATTGGGTTGTAGCAGATTAACAGTGTTGCGGTAGTTTTGGGTGAACAGCGAAGGGACTCATAGTATTTACTTTTCTATTTTGTTATGGAAGCATGCATTTGAACCATTTCAGAGAGATTGAAGAATGTTAATTTCTATTCATCCATCAAATGAGGATGATACTGTTCATCTTCTAGGATTGCTGTGAGGATTAGAGATTGAGTTTGAGGATGCTGATTACAGGATCAGGAGCAGAGTGAGCCCTCTGCAAATGGTGGCTGCTGTTAGTATACTTTTCCCAGGACTATGAGATTATTTTTATTTTTTAATTAGAATATATCATATGTTAGAATATGCCATTCTTAATTTTTCTGTTGCTAAATAAAAGTATAACAATTGTGCTTTTATGCACCTTTGTTGTAGTTTTCTCCATTCTGCAATGAAGCTAACAATATTGGAGTAATTCTACTCAATACAATGTATCAAACTCAAATACAATACAGGTTTGCAAGTTCTTGTTTCAGTTTTTTTAAAAAAAGTATGGAGAGTTATACTCATTGTTTTTTCTGCTTAGAAAAAAATTGATAGCCTATAAATTTCTAATGTTTTAAAACAAGTATTTATTATTTAAGGTCTTTAAATATACCTGTATTAAACAAATTAGGCTGTTTAAAAAACTTTGCAACAATACTTGACTTATTCACAAATATATTTTCTTTCCATATTTATTAGGGTTTGAACAACTTACAAACATAAATCCTGCAAATACTCTTTGCTTAGATAACAATACTGTTATCTTAATTCACATGAATGTTTGCAAGACATATTTATAATACTTTATATAGTATCTTTATCTAATGCTCACATCAGAGTCTCAAATTAAATCACATTTAACTTTATACAGATGGAAAAGCTGGAATGATAAGAGGTTGGATCCTGTTCCAGTAATTGTAGTAACTAGCTTTCTTCTTTTGCTTCTGTAGCTGGCCCTCTGATTTTTGTGTGGGAGGATACAACCTTTACAGTTCTTCGAGTAAAGTTACTCTTCAGGAAATCAGATAATGATAACAGAGAACCATCAGATGAAGATTAATTTAATCATCAGATGAGCCTGGGGGTGTCTTCTATAGTTTGCTCAAAACATCTTGTAGAAAATAACTCTTATTTTCTACCTGCACAAATTATTATCTCGAAAGGAAAGAATTCAGTTAAGTGAATAGTGAGTCCTCTTTAAAGGTTTGTTTATAATTGCTTTCTTTTTTAAGTAGAAAAAATCCTTTCAGATGTAACCAGTCATGGAATAATGATGACTCAATGTGTTTCTTAACATAATACAATCATATTTAAACAGACTCTTCCCTTTTCCTTAGAATGTTCAGCCATTTAGTGAAATTTTAAAGACTTAACTAAACCATCTTAATGCTTACAGTTTCTGACAAAAATTTAAGGGAAAAAGAAGACTATTTGGATAATAAATAAAATAGAACCTGTACTAAATTTCTGATTTTAAGCTCCCTTTGTCCAAAAAAAAAAAAAAAATACACCTATAATTATATCCAGAGGCATTTTGTCCCTCCCTCTTTTTTTTTCTGATGAGTCCTACATTGGTCATAACATACATACTTAATAACTTACATTTTGGAACAGAAGGTGGCCAGCAGGCCTACCCTGGTCCATCCTAATGTCATTTTCAAGTCAAATCAAATACTGTCTTTGGATTAATTAGTTGTTGATGGACGTTTGATAGAGGGGATACTGCATGATCTTCTCATGATAAGCCTGACTTCTATATCTGGTAGATTATCCTGCTTAGTCTGTGAACACCCTTCATCAGTGGCTGCTAAATGAAGATCAAATCGAAGAGAAACTGATTTTTTCCTTAATCGAGGGTTATCTTTAAAGAAGGAGCCTTCCCATTCTTTAATAACTTCATCCACTTTCTCTGTCCTGAAATGATAAAATAAATCTTCCTATATGAAGAAGTAAAAAAATGTAATGTGTACTGTATATGAAAAATAAATCAAGAAATGTCTATCACATATTAGATTTTAAGTTACAATTTATAATTTACATTGTGACAGTTATATGTGTATTCTTTAAAAATCATATGAATAAAATTTCTAAGGGATTCTATGGAATTTTTATTATTTGATTATGTTTTTTGGGAAAATGATGAATTAAGGATTGAGTACTTCATCTGAGTTTTTATATATTTATTCATGTCTGATTAAAAATCACAATATATAAAATTATGTTTAGACACATTCAAAGATCACTGAGGTTACTCAATTGAAGTTAATTTTTTTTTGCATGTGTTCATTATTATTTCTAAGTCAAAATTATTTTACTTACTGAATAGTGCCATGAGCTTCAGTGCTTTCTTTCACAATATTTCCATTTAATATTGCCTGTTTGGTCACTGTTTCCACTTTTTCATCCTCATACTTTTGTGGGACTTTTGTTGAAAAAGATATTTCATTTATAATGGCTGTGAAAATATTAATTATGCAATATTAAATTACAACATTCACAGTACTATTCAGTACTATTTACAGTACTATTATATACTAAGGACTAGTCACAGTCAATGTGTATGTCAAACTTTATTCAAATATTGCTTGTTTTTTGCTACTTTAGAGAATTTATTTATAATCCCTATAAATGGCACTTCACTTTTCAGGTTAGTTAAATCAGAAACTCACCTGAAGGTAAAACAAAGCCGACTCTACTTGTGGTAGGTTTTTGTTCTTTTTTCCCACCTTGGATACTACCATAATATCTGAAATTGGAAAAAAATTATATTATAGAAGCAACCTTGTATTAGCATGTAATTGAAACAAATGCTCTCCAATAAGAGAATGGATAAATTGTAGCTTGGTCAGTAAAGAATCTGCCTGCAATGCAGGAGACCCAGGTTTGATCCTGGGTGGGGAAAATCCCCTGGAGAAAGAAATGGCAACCCACTCCAGTATTCTTGCCTGAAGAATCGCATGGACAGAGGAGCCTGCCAAGCTACAATCCATGGGGTCACAAGAATCAGACAGGACTTAGAGACTAAACCACCACCTAGCAGTGAAAATAAGTGAACTAAAGATACACTGTATCTGTAGGGAACAGTCTCCCAAGTATAACATTGAGTGGGGGGTGGGGGGGGGGAAGAAAGATTATAGCTAGCTAATTTTACAAAGATTAAAATATATGTAAAACAATTCCGCATTTTGCTTAGGGATATATATAATGAGACTTATAAGCATCAGACCTGGGAGCCAGGTTAGACTGATGGAGGGGAATAAGATGGGTTGGGGTGTGGTTTAGATGCTGAGGTAGGGATTAGGGGGACTTCAGTAACATTATAAATGTTTCATGGGCTTCCCTTGTAGCTCAGTCGGTAAAGAATCTGCCTGCAGTGCAAGAGATCTGGGTTCGATCCCTGGGTTGGGAAGATCCCCTGGAGAAGGAAATGGCAACCCTCTGCAGTATCCTTGCCTGGAAAATCTCATAGACAGAGGAGCCTGGTTGGGCTGCAGTCCATGGGGTGGCGAAGAGTTGGGCTCAACTGAGCAGCTAACACGATAAGTGTTTCACTTCTTAAACATAGGAGTTCATTATATTTTTCTTGATAACTTTTGTAACTTTATCTTAAATAAATTTAAGTGAATGTTGCTCAGTCATGTCTGACTCTTTGCGACCCCATGGGCTGTAGCTTGCCAGGCTTGTAGGTCCATGGAATTCTCCAGGCCAGAATACTGGAGTGGGTAGCTGTTCCTTTCTTCAGGGCATCTTACCAACCCAGGGATCGAACCAGGTCTCTCACATTGCAGGCGGATTCTTTACCGTCTGAGCAACCAGGGAAGCCCAAATACCTGTGTCTCTTAAATATAGCATAATAAAACTTTAAAAATTGTATAAAAGGAATGTTAAAGACCACTTTATCAACATCTTGAATGATTAGGCATTAAACCAAATCTACAACCATTTTATTTCATAATAAGTGAATTACATATATACAGCTATATAATTTATTTACATAGCACTGTTTTAACCACTTTACAAACATTAATTCCTTTAATCCTCAGCAATTCTGAGGTAGGCATTTTATAGATGAGAAACTGAGGCAAAGAGAGATTTAATAATTTGCCCAGCATCACTTAGCTACTAAATGGTATTTTTAATTCAATTTATGTTTTGCAAGGATTTGGTAAATGTCAAGACTTATTATAGATGATAGTAGTTTCATCCAGTTTTATAGAGGACTCAGAATTCTGAAGCAAGTACAAATAAAGCTTCATTTCTCTGGGAATATGGAAAACTATAGGTTGTGCTATGCTCCAAGTCATATGAGCTTACAAGTGATTGCAGATTATGAAACTGTGTGTGAACTATTAAGAATCCCTCTTTTGATGCCTTTTGTTGTCAGAGTATATGGAAGTCTTTCAAACCATGTAATTAGAATAACATTGTTTTCCATGGTTGTAATATAATAGAAATAGTAACAACACTATTACTAATAGTATTATTATTTTGGAGTTTGATGTGTGCCTGGAGTGGGCCCTTGTGGGAGGGGGAAAAGCAGTAACATGTGAATTTTTCAAAGTTTCTTCGTGGTGGTCTATTGGAGGCACTAATTCTATAAGGGGTGAATGGCAGGGAAAGTGAGAATATTAAAGAAGGTCTTTGTAGTGATGGAAGATCATTTCTATTTTGTTCCAGGCTTGCTTATACTCTTTCTTATAGCTCAAGTCCCCGACTTTGGCTCGTCTATTCATAATTTGGGGTGTGCTTAGTCGCTCAGCCATGTCTGACTCTTCGTGACCCCACAGACTGTAACTTGCCAGGCTCCTTTGTCCATGAGATTTTTCAGGCAAGGGTACTGGAGTGGGTTGCCATTTTCCTCTCCAGTGGATCTTCCCAACCCAGGGATCAAACTCATGTCTCCTGCATTGCAGACAGATTATTTCCCTGACTGAGCCATCGAGAAAGTCCCTCATAATTTGAGGGGGCTGGAACTAGTTCTCCCACTTATTTTTTTGCCATGCCTATTTTGTGGTAGGAACTCAGTGATCATGTCTTGGTAATGATAGGTTTTTAGATTTAATTTTTCTGACTACATCAGTGACCTAAGTGGCCCTGTATTTCTGGTCATTCACTATATGGAAATTAGGTACCTGATTTCTTCCTTTTCCAGGAGGCGGCGATATGTTGCGATTTCCTGTTCCAGCCTCATCTTGGTGTTGAGGAGCATTTCATGCTCTTGAAGCTGCCTTTCAATGCCACGCCTTACTTCCTGTAACTCTTTTTCTAGTCCTTCAATCACTGCCTCTAGGTCTTGCAGCTGCATCTGGTAATGTTGCTCACTGGCATGTAGGGAGTTTTCAAGGCCCCTTTCCTGTTTTATACAGATCTTCATCAGTGAATCAAGGAAACAAACTGTGTCTCTGAAATCTGATTTGCAATGTCTTCACTCAGTTGAGTTCTTTCTTAAAAAGGTTGCAATAATTGTACAGCACTTATGCAAGAGGTATTTCCTTACAGCTTTAGGTATGGCACAACTTTTAAAAAGTTGTATTTTCTATCTACAGCTAGAGAGTTTTCTATTTCCAAGGAATCCTGTGATCATTCTTATGCCCCCCCCACCCCCGCTGCCACCCACCAAAGGAACCTGCAGTGTGATTAGTTTATTATCACCCTGATTTATTTGATTTCTTAAATATCGAAAAGTATAGAATATTGAATATTAAAGCCAGAGCAGACTCCTTATAAAAGGCATTTTTGGAAAATTTTAAAATATTTTTCTATTAGAAGTCTTTGTAGCATGGATAAAAGAATCCTCCACTGTTATGACTTCGGATAATGACAAAAGCTCTGTTCCCCCATTCTAACATTTAGAGAACCCCAGGGTTCTGGAGTAAGGATTATTTCATTATTGTAAGTGTGAACTAAACCTTCAGTGAACTGATGACAGACATTGCCATGATGGAGGCAGGGCGCTAGTTGAACTAGGTCAAATGGATAGAATTCAGTGCCCTGATTTTTAGTTCTTCACTGTCCAGTAAGGGATGTCACTCTTTCCCTCTCCTAGTCAGATAACATCTGGGGACTCAGTGGGCCAGCCGCCTTGAGGTCGTGCTCACCACAGCATGCAGAGATTCAATTTCCACTTGCAGGTGATGCCACTGGCGTCGGGCTTCCTTGAGTTCTGCTTGAGCTGCCTTTAAAGCCTCTTCATCTTTGTCCATTTTTTTGCTTAGATCTTCTTCCAACTAGAAGAAAGCCAACAACAACAATAGCAGCAACAACAACAACAAAAAGAGCACTTTTGAAAATGAGACCTTTAAAAGCAGTTATAGACAAATAGGATAGGAATCAAATCTTTTTTCTTTAGATTACAGATGTATGTTCTGGTTGGTGCTCAGTCACTAATTAAACACATGCGTGAGTCAATTGCACTCTTAGCCTCAGTATTCTCAGATGTAAAATGAACCTCGAAAGTCCTTTCCTACCATGACAGTCTATAAAATGCAGAAAAATACATTTTAATGAGAAGTAAGTTTGCAAGGCCAAAGTTTGAGACCTCTGATTCTTAACTTTCCATTATTTATGGCATCATTAAGGAAGAAAGATAGAAAATTAGCTACTTCTTCCCCCCTCCCCCACTTTTTTCTTATAAGCTACTTTATGAATCAATTATTTCTGGGACTGGATATATGGACAGGAAGTAAATACTACTAGAAAATATTTTATGAATAATTTAGAGAGTTAAGTTTTCATAGGCATTAGAGATTCTAAAATAGACTTCTATATTAAAAGAATCCACTGTTGATTCACCTTTTTCAAAATGATCTTTTTAGAAGGCATGCACTTTGAATATCTAGGGTGGTAGCAAAATGACTTCTTTAAAGACTGCTCTCTAAATGTTCTCATGTTAAATAATGAGTGAGTTAGTTTATATTCAACTTTAAGTGTTCTTATGCGGATGCTGGGATTCAAAGTATCTTTTGACAGAATTCTCAACATTTGGCCACAGGAGCAGTAGGAGCAATGTATGGAACTGATTGTACTATTTTGAGGCAAAAATTAGAACTTTTTAATGTTCATATAAAAATGCATTTTAAAACATACAAAAATTAATTTGGTGGTACAATAGATTTTTTAAAGGAAATATTGGATTAAATGAAAGTCAATTAAGTATAGTTCAAGGAATTACATGACAAAATTCATTCATTTCTTTTGATTTGTTGTGTCACTTATTCTTAGCGTTAGGTTGGCAAAACAAAGCAGCAACACGTATTAGAGAAACCACAAAAGAGGAGGACAAGAATTTCAGAAATAGAAGAGCATAAAAATTCTGGTACCTACTGGATTTTGAGTGAGGAGCTGGCAGCTAGGCTGGTGTGGTAGCTAGATTCCGAAGATGGCTCTCAGTGAATCACTCCTCCCCAAATTCATGTCCTTGTTTGGTCCTGTTCCACACTGAATCTGGGATGACTTGTGTCTTGCCTTAGTCAGCAGAATATAGAAGATGTGCCAGTTGTAGGCCTAAGCCTTAGGAAGCCCTGACAACTTCCACTTCTGTGCTTTTGGGAGCCCTGGTGTACACTGGGAGCCTCAATGTATAAGAGGTCCAGATAGCCTGTTTGAGAGACTGTGTAGAGGCCAGATGGAGAGAAAGAGGCCCAGCTGTCTCAGCTGAGCCAGCCTTCCAGAAATGTCCTGCCAAGGTGCCAGACGCGGGAGTAAGCCACGTTGGCTGGCCCAACCTGGTTGTACCCCAAGATGACTGTGGTCCTGGCCAATGTCATGTGCGGTGGAAGAATCACCCCCACTGAACCCAGTTAACCCACAGCAATATGAAAGACAATACAATTGTCTTTTTAATTCACCAAGTTCTAGAGTGGTTTGTTGTATATCTGTAAATAACTAAAAGAGCTTACATTTACTGTGTAATAATTAAGTAATCATACTTTCTCAAATTTATTCCAGTTGATTTTCTGAATTCTTTGGGAAAAAAAGAAGTCCCCTAAAGTAGTTTTACGTTAAAAGGAAACAAAACTTACTGTAGTCTTGCTTTTTCACTTTAGTCTTTCAGCATTGTGACTTGTAAACTAAGTAACTTATATTTCTATTATTGCAAAATAAAATGTTTATTTGGTTTATAATTTTCAGAAATTGTCATCTATTAATTGTTTTCTTCTCTTTGTAAAAGGTGAGTGAATTCTTGCAGCGCTTCAGATATCTCAGTGAATTTGCTTCATCTGAGATGCTGATCATTCTTTATGAAGACTGAAAATGTTACCTAGAGATTACATTTATGATGTTACTAAAAATGAATTACTAATACGATAAGGTCCTATGATTTCCCAGCAATATTTTTTTCCCTTATGGTGATGTTCTTAAGTAAACTCTTTGCTGTGTTTGGGTGCTTGGAATAGAACTTGAACTCAGATATGATAGGTAAACTGAAAACAAACAAACAAACAAACAAACAAAAAACCCAAAAAACCAAACCCCTGAATTTCTGAAGCTTTGTTTCTAAAATAGATGTTTGTCCACTTGTTTAGAGATGAGACCTTAATTAATTGCTAAGAGTGATTGTCATTTTAAAGCAAAGTGTCGATGAAATGAGGATTTAGCCCTTATTTAATTTGGCTCTCTTTCTAAATAATACTTAAATATTACATGCTTAGTGTTAGAGATAAACATTTCTCACCTTTTAGTACAAAAGCAAAAAAATCTATAGTCAAAGTGGAAAGTCCTTATTGATTTGGAGAATTTTGAGTGTCCCAATTTATATCATTGTTTCTGAATACCATGTTCACATACTCACATGATTTCTGTTTGTAACAGTCTGGTATAAAATCAAACTCAAGAAAAAATGATAGAAACCTTTTAGAAATATTTCACTTAGTTTTATCTTGCAAAGTGTGCTAGATAATAAATTCACTATAAAACTTGTCATTTTAAAGGTGTTATTTAAATTATTTCTACAAGTAAATCCATGATATCTTCCAAGGGTATCTGAAATGCTTCCTTCCTATAAAATTCTAAAAGAGATTACTGTGCATCGTTTTATTGTATACTGATCCCATGTTTTGTTAATGACAGTAACCTCATGGTTTATATAAAAATCAAATGCATCAATCAACATTCATTTAATGGTCATTTAACAGTAATACACACAGCCTTTCCCCCTAAAGTCCCTGTCACATTGCAGAAAAACCTAAATTCCTTCCCCAGTATATGCTGCATTGAAAAGGAAATACTGTACCTCAGAGAGGCCGGGACAGGAATTGGATAGACATGGATTGTCTCCTTATCCTGGAAGATGCCTGTCTGTATGAAATCATTACCTGGATCCTTGTTGAGAGCACGGTCTCTATCTGATTTCTGGTGAGGAGCTTTTCATAGTTTGCCCTGATCTCATTGAGTAGCTGGGACAGCTCCATTCTTTTCCCATCCTCCACCTTGGCTAACAGAACCTTATCGATAGGATGAGTCTCTGCGGCAGAACCTGCTCTGTCTGCATCGCGAGCAGAGGGAGCGCCATGGAGCCTTAAAGATACAGAGCTCCGTTTTTCAGAAGCCATGGAAACCCCTGGGTTTCTCATCAATTATGCAAACGTTTGGTAAACCTTTTTCTCCTGTTGTTATCAATCTGGTAGAAGTGTCAGTCTCTCCATAAAGGAACCAAAAAATGAAGACTGTCTCAGTATTCCTGGATTGGGTCTCTGTAAAACTGAGCACATTTGGCAGAGGGAAGTTAATTTAGCTTGTGGAAAGAAAATGGGGTATAACATGAAGAAAATTGTGTTTTGTTTTCCCAAAATATTATGTGGAAATAAATCTGGGCTTAAAACATGGTACCTAAGCTTTTCTTTTATGACTTCCCTCACCATTTGGATTATTTAAACAGAAATGCTATAAGAGGGCATTAGAATATGTTGCAAACCTTGAATATTCTGACAGTTACTGGAAAAAGTGACCATTATATTCAGCTGACAGCTGTCATAAGCTGCAGGATTGACTGATTATATTTCTCTTAAATACATACTCCTTGACTTGTGGTGGGCGGCTGGCCTAATGGCAGAGTTTGATATATTGAGGTGAATTCCTGAAAGCATATTACAGATGAAGCTATGGCTGGAGATAAGTGCTAAGAGAGGATGAGAAGTGACAGTTAACATTTCCAACATTTCAACAAGGTTGAAGAAATACAACAAGACAGCCCCTGTGCTGGGTATATTCACTGAGATAAGATGTTTTGTTGGGTTACTCTTTCATGAGTAAACATAGAGTTGATGACAACTCCTATGTACTCATATAACATTTGTGCAGCTCTTCTAACTTTATAAAGCACCTTTACATCTGTCATTCTATTTAATTGTCACAATCCCTGTTGTTTTGTAAACTGTAAAGATGATAAGTCTGTGCAGGAGGGGTTAAGGTGTCTTTCCCAAGGTCGTATGGTGATTGGTGATGTAATGGCATCCTTGGGACTGGGCTTTGATCCCTTGGCTATATTCCAGATACTATCCTGTCTGCCTCTGCATTACGTCTCTCCCCACCTAAATTCCTTGTTTAGCCTGAAAAGCTGGCTGCTAGATATGACTGAAATATTTTAAAGGCTAGATCTATCACTGTTATTTGTAGAGTGGCTTGGCTGAAATTGTATCTGGAGTGTAGTTCAGGAAATAATCAATCTTTGGCTCTGGTGCTCACAGGGCCTTTGAATGTACATTATGCTCTTTTAATTTCTGAATTAACTCACTGCTGGCCAGTCCTGTCTGTGCCAGGCATTCCCACAGTCCCCTCTAAATAAAGCTGGGCACCCAGAACTCCTGCTGAGGGGTGAGGTTCCAGGTCATTCCTGTGCTCTGTTTAATTTGACCCTCGCCTCTTCCACCTTCCCCACTGGTCACAGTGGATTGGTCTAGGGGTGGACACTTTACCTAAGGAGACTCAATCTGTAGGTCAGAGACCTGTGAAGTAGCCTGACCCAAAAGCTCTGACTAAAGAGCATCACTTATGATTATTTAGGCCAAACTGATTCTCTTTTTGGTAATTGCAACTGAGAAATAGGAAGAGAAACAGGCATTGATAGTGGGAGGAGAATCAGGAAAGAATTACACTCTTATTACTTTATGTAGTTCCTGCTGATCTCTGCCTAAAATACAGATAGCTGAACTAGATTCCAGGCCTGGCAATCTGCATCTGAGACAAACCTCTTGGGTATTTCTGCATTATAGCAGTGCTTTCCAATAAAGAAACAGAATGTGGGCCACAAATGTAAACTGCACATGTAGTTTAATACTTTCTAGTCATCATATCAAAAGATAGAAACAAATGAAATGAATTTTCATATATTTTCTTTAACCTTAAATGTCTAAGATACATCATGTAGTTATTGTTGTTGTTCAGTCACCAAGTCATGTCCGACTCTTTGCAACCCCATGGACTGTAACACGCCAGGCTTCCCTGTCCCTCACCATCTCCCAGAGTTTGCCCAAGTTCATGCCCATTGAATTGGTGATGTCATCCAACCATCTCAGCCTCTGTCACCCTCTTCTCATTCTGCCTTCAATTTTTGCCAGCATCAGGGTCTTTTCCATTGAGTTGACTCTTTGTGTCAGGTGCCTGAAGTGTTGGAGCTTCAGTTTCAGCATNGAAAGCAGGTTTATTTAGAGAGATACACATTCCATAGACAGAAAGCAGTCTGAGAAAGTGAGAGCAGCTCTGAAATATGGGATGTTTCGTTTTTATGTGTGCACGTGTGTTGGTTGTTCAGTCATGTCTGACTCTTTGTGACCCTCATGTGGGATCAGGCTCTTCTGTCCATGAGAATTTCCAGGCAAGAATACTGGAATGGGTTGCCATTTCCTTCTCCAGGGGATCTTCCCAACCCAGGGAATGAACCGGGATCTCCTGCATTGCAGGGTGGATTCTTTACCATCTGAACCACCAGGACTGAGTAATTTCATAGGCTAATGAATGGGAGAATTATTCCAATTATTTTGGGGAAGCAGTGGAAATTTCTTGAAACTGGCCACCAGTGTCACCACCCACACTTTTGCCTTTGATGGTTGGCTTCAGAACTGTCTTGGCATCTGTGGGTGTGTCACTTAGCACATGGTAATATAACAATGAGCCTATAATGAAGCTCATGGTCCACAGGAAATTGAATCGTCCACCTCTTAGAGGACCTTGTCAGTCTAACCAGTTTAGGTATATGTTGTGTCCTCAACAGTTAAGTCATTCTTTTAAAGGTTGTGCCCTGCCCCATTTCTGTCTCAGCTCCATGATCAGAAACAGAGGAGGGGAATTAGATTTAATTTGATCCACACACTTGAAAAAGATCTGGGTCAAGCCTCTGCCTGCCAATTACTAGCCAAATGTGCTTGGGTTAAATACTGTTTAAACGTCAATTTCTTCATCTGTCAAATGAGATTAGCGCTATACCCTTCATATTATTATTACTATGATAGTAGTACTATTATCATCATCCTCATTTTATAAAGATACTGAAGTCCAGTGAAGTGCAGAGCCAAGATCCAAAGCCAGGCAGTCAGACTCCAGAGTCTACTCTTTAGACCATAAGCTGGTAATGTCTTAGTAATTGATGTAAAACACTTGGCACATAGGTGCATTGATGCTAAATCACTTTAGTGTGTCCCACTCTTTATGATCCCAGTTCACCAGGCTCCTCTGTCCATGGGATTTTCCAGGCAAGAACACGAGTGGGTTGCCATGGCCTTCTCCCAACCCAGGAAACCTTCCCAACCCAGGTATCGAACCTACATCTCTCATGTCTCCAGCATTGGCAGGCGGATTCTTTACCACTAGTGCCACCAGGGAGAAGAAGACTTCCTAGTTCTTCACCATCTCCTGGAGTTTGCTCAAACTGATGTCCATTGAGTCGGTGATGCCATCCAGCCATCTCATCTGTTGTCCCCCTCTTCTCCTTCTGCCTTCACTCTTTGCCAGAATCAAGGTCTTTTCCAAGACCTTGGCTCTTTGCATCAGGGGCCAAAGTATTGGAACTTCAGCTTCAGTATCAGTCTTTCCAATGAATCTTCAGGATTGATTTCCTTTAAGACTGACTGGTTTGATTTCCTTGATGTCTAACATGCAGCAAAGTTTGAGAATCACTTGCAAATCACTGTTACAAATGTTAGGCTTCCTTCCACTCTTTTCCCTCTATGCTTCACCCAGAGGAAATGAGTGTTCTGCACAAATGTCTGAAATAGGACTCCAAAAGTTAAACATTGGCAAGTTCCATTATTTGCTATAGTTGATATAAATCTGAGTCCATAGGCTAGGGTAGACAGGACATATACGTTACTATATTTTTCTATAACAAATTAGTCTTTACCTTGAGCTTCAATTCTGCATAGGATGTGTAATTAAATTTCATCATGTGAACTTCCCACTTTTTTTCCCCAAAATTTTGCGTCTAAGTTTTGGGGAACTTCATAGTTGTGACTATGGGGCTNGGGGGGGGTCGGGATGAGGGGACGGGAGAGAGGTTCAATAGGGAGGGGACATACGTATACATATAGCTGACTCACGCTGTTGTACAGCAGAAACCAACACAGTATTGTAAAGCAATTATCCTCCAATTAAAAAAAAAAGAACAAAATCTCCCAACCCAGAAATCCTCTCCACAAACAAAAGAAGAAAACAGTTGTATTATTGCATAAGAATTAAACAAGCATGTGATGCTCACTGTAGGAAATCCACCAACAGATTGGAAGGACAAGAAGAAACCTCACCTTTTCTTCAGGGCATCCTTCCTCATGCCAAGCAGACAACTTATTATACATATTTGCAAGGTAGTAAGTGATAGCTAGTGTTCAAGTGCAAGAACTTCTTGATAGCACTGTTCATCACACATTGTCCATCTTAAGTTCACCTGGTAATTGAAGTGGCCATCAGTGTTTGCTAATTGGATTTAATCAAAGGAAAATTAAACTTATTTCGAGCATTTATGATGGAAGGTAGTTTTGCAACTTAGAGCCCACTAAAGCTGGGCTGCTACTCTCTCACAGGAACTAGGGGGTAGGGGTTATCCTCCTTGATAATCATATTTCAAAGAGATGGCTCCCAGACCCTCGAAAAAGACATTCCTGGATTTATGTACAGTACAGCTAACGTTAAATGAAATGCACATAACACACTGGGCAATGTTAATATGAAATCTCCTAGTACATGCTAGCAAAACATCTTTTGTAATTTTTTCCTCCCATCTCACTCAACCCAAGGAAAAAGTACAAAAAGTAGACTGTTCAGAGATGGTTTAACAATTTCATTTGCAAAGATGATATTTCTCATAAATTTTATTTTTTATCAAAAATTATTTT